TGTGGTACAGCAGGGATGCTTCTACTTCCCTGTGATGTTTAAGAGATTCACTTTGTTCTTGTTTATTCTAATGGCTGCTCATGTTTATTGCACTGCATTCCTATTAGGTTGATTTATTTTATTTACACCTTTGCAAATTGCTCTGAAATCCAACTAAACAAAATACTTGAGAAATATTTTGAATAAATAAGACATTCCTGGGCCTGAAAAGATCTTCCCACTGTTTTTGAAAGCCCCAACAATGCTACCTGATGATATAGTGTGGATGTTGGTTGGCCTTGTGACTGCAAGCTATTAGTACAGATAATCCTTGATGTAACAGCCATTTGTTTAGTGACTATTCAAAGTTACAATGGGATTAAAAAAGTGACTTATGACCAGTTTTCATGCTTACGACCATTGCAATATCCCCATGGTCATGTGATCAAAATTTGGGTGCTTGGCAACTGGCATGTATTTATGACAATTGCACTATCCTGGGGTCATGTGATCACAATTTGAAAACTTCCCAGATGTTGACAAGCAAAGTCAATGGGGACATTTGAATTAGCTTAACATCATTATATACTTAACAACTGCAGTGGTTTGCTTAACAACTGTGGCAAAAAAATCCTAAAATGGGACACAACTCACTTAACAACTGTCTTTCTTAGCAATAGAAATTCTCAATTCTTGTCGTAAGTCAAGGACTATGTGTATTGCCTTTCTGGTTGTTTTGCTGGTTAGTGTATTCTCCTTAAATTGCAAACAACCTTTCACTTTCCCTGCTCTCATTTAGTCCTACTTCTATCTATAAAGAGTTGCCTGAAACTGCAAAGTTAATGCCTCAAGTATTTGTTTAATTTGGGTATTACAGTATTTCAATTTAGTTCCAGTATTTATGAAACATTTATCTACCATATGGCGTCTTTCCTGATTTCTTTGCTGCTTTTCTCAGGATCTCTGCAGCCATCTGAAGACATTTTCTCCTTTGAGGAGGAAACAGGCTTGAGTGGTCAGAGGAAAAATGTAGGAACTAGGGAAGAAAATAATTGGGAGATCCTCTTTTTGAGGGGTTGGTCTTCCTATGAATTTTTTTGCAAAAGTAGCTTCTGATGCTTTTTTGGGCAATGACCTACTGGTGACTGTTTTTAAATGGTAGGACAGTGATGGTGAACCTTTTTTGAGACCGAGTGCCCAAAAACTGGCCCCGCCCCGCCCCACCCCTGCTTTGCCCCCATCCCATCCCCCACCCCACCTGCTCGCAGGGCCACTGACCGCCTCCAAGGCCCACTGCAGATTGCCCAGGCAGCCCAGCAGCGCCATGGCGGCCACACCCTCTGCCCGCGCCCTGCAGCATCAACTGTGCGGGATGGGGCATGAGGGCAGAGTCTTGTCTATGCTGCCTGGCTGCCATGTCCTTGGCTGCGTTGCTCCGTGTGGGCCACGCTCAGGGGCGACTCTCCTCCAGGGGGGCTGCTGGTGAGGAGGGGGTCGTGGGGGGGAGGCGAGGCTGGGGCAACAGCACGTGTGCCCACAGAGAGGGCTCTGAGTGCCGCTTCTGGCACACGTGCCATAGGTTCGCCACCACTGTGGTAGGACATAATTTGGCTAAGATTAAAGAGGTGGAAATTTCATAAAGCCATTCTCCCTCTCCTTAATAATTCAAACACAGCTATTTCCCATTGCCATGTGGCTCTTTGTGTGATTATCAGTATTTCACAAAAGTAATCAAGCTGCCCTTTTGTACTCAGTTGAAAGATAAATGTCAAAAGCCACATACTGTGATATAAACCAGTTGCAGATGAATGCATGGAGAACTATAGCTGACTTCTTACAATGCAGTAAAACCTAAACGTAGGCTAGGAGTCATAGTAGTTGTGTCATCTACCATTTTATATACAATAGATCGACTACATTATGAGTTAATGTGATGGCCCAGCTCACACAATACAAAGACAACAATTGAGTCCCTCAATATACTGAGCTATAAATTTTCCAATTCTATTTCAGCCTAGTTTAAGATAGTGCAAAGCCAGCGTGACAGGGTCCTGACATATGAAGAAGGAAAAATCCTGACCACATTAGCATCAGTCATGTCTGAAGGGCCAATTATACCACTGACGTTTCCTCATTTACTTTGAAGTTTCAAAACTGCCATCTACATCTGCCAATTTTTCATTTCTGTGGTGATCACATGATCTAAACCCCTGGAATTAGACAGGCAAGTCTTGGGACATAGTTCTGTAGCTGATTTACAAATGTTTTGCCATCAAACTATAACCTGCTGTATTCCAAGCCCCAATATTTCCTTCTTTCCTCCCTCCCTCTCTGGGCAAATCCATGAGGTTTTCTTGGCAAGGTTTTCAGAAATGTTTTGCCATTGACTCCTTCCTAGAACTGACAGTGAGTGACTAACTCAACATCACCCAGCTGGTTTCCAGTTTCTAGCCACTACTACATAAAACTGGTTCTCTTAACTTTTTCTTAAGTACTTAAATGACTAAATACCTGGAGGCTCCAAACAATACTGCTTAAGAGAGGAAACTATTATTACAATCAATCCTGTTAAAATTAATGTCTTGTTAGTATTTTAGGAACAGATTTCCTTGTTCTCAGATCTTTCAAGTGGTTCACAGCTTTCTTCAAAAACAGCTTATGCACATCCCAAAGACTCTCAAACAGTCCAGTGGCTTTTGCTTATGAGGCTGCAATTACTGATTTAATGATATGGTTCTATTACCTCTGAGTTCTTTGAAACTCTTTTTTTTTCCCTCTTAACAATCTGGGTACAAAATGTTTACCAAATGAAGACTGTAACTTCTCCAATTTAACAACCAAAGAAAAACTTTGCAGGAATTTCAAAAGGAATCTTTTAATCACAAATTTATTTGCAGACAGATTTAAAGCTCCTTGAACCAAGATATATGTGTGGGCTCACTGTGACCTGACATGGCAATCTGTGTGAATAATGGATTACAACTTAAAAGAACACAACTATCTTATCATCTCATAAATCACACTTCATGTATCACCTAAGTCACAGCCAAAGGAAAGGAGAAGTCTAACAATTGATGCATTTTCTTCTTTCCCATATGAATTCCAATAAATAAACAAAGCATCTGTTACAATGATTTTACAAACTTTTTAAACTGATAACCTAGGCAACAATACTCTGCATGCTTACAGTACTTGGGAGCAATATAGTTTTATTCAGTAAGACTTACTTTTGAGTAAACACACCTAGAACTATTACACTGATCTTGCATTCCTGAAAAAGCTCATGCTTTGATTGCCAACAGAAATGTGTAACAATCAAGTTAAGAGGGAAAAAGTGTAACATATTCCAAGCAACTCAAAAGCAAACAATAGTTTGCAAAGTATATTTCACTGAAAAACCTCAGAAAAACAGAATTCATTAGCAATCTCTGTATAGATATAACACTAAACTTCAATATAAATATGAGGAAATATTTTTATAATATTGACAATTTGAAATGTGTGCAAGCATCACAACTTAGCACACTACAGCCTGTTGTTATATGTCATCAGCTAGACTTCGACAGTCACCCATTTACATTACCATTGGTCTGACTAAAGAATCACTGCAGGATTGCTGACATGATATAAGTTGCAAAGGAGTCAAATTTTAAAAATTCCATCTACAGACTGCTGCACTTTCAGATCCTATTGTGATTTCCACTAATGAATCTTTTTAAAATTACTATACAGCAATAGATTATTGTCTCTGATCCATGCCAGTTTGGAACTGTCTCCTAGAGCAGAGTTTTCCAAACTTTCCGGCTTTGTGGCCCAGCGGTGTGGGGGGAGGGGTGATGGTTCTACTTGAGTGGTGGGCAAGTGTGCATGTGTACAGCTCCATTTGCACAAATGATGGTCACATGCGCTCACCGCTTGCACTAATGGAGAGTGTGCACACACGCTTGCCTGTTGCTCATGTAAGTGAGGATGCGCGTGCTCGCCTACCATTTCTGCAGACTGGTTCCAAACAGCTCAAGGCTGGGAAGTGGACTGGGAGTTGGGGACCCCTGTCCTAGAGACTGTACAAGAACCATGGTTTATCATTATGTGAATACTAAAGAGTCTAAAATTCATCCCCCTCCATCTCATTTCCTCCATCCCCGCCCACTCCTGAATGATTCATTCCATCTGTTTCTGGCCTGAGGCAAAATCATATTTATTATTTTGGTTAAACCAACTAAAATCATGGTGTAATTATAGTAACTCTGCAATCAGGGCTTAGAAACAAAGAGGGTTCCTATATGTAAACCACAGCTGGCTGATTTAGATGTTCCAGCAAAGTATGAATTTATCAGAAAGTAGGGACGAAAACTATAGTGAAAAAGAAGGAGCGTGTAAGTCTGAAGTTCCTTAAAGTTGGCAGCAAGTCATCCTATACCCTGACTTGCTCTGAGAAAAACAGGGAATTGTCCTCAAAATTGAGGCAATTTACGGTAACTGAAGAACACCAATATATAAAAACTCACTTGTTTTTCTATTAATATTCCCTTATTACAATGTTTCTTCTTCAGGATCTTGAACAATCAGGGAATGTGCCCTCTTCCTTTTCCACTGATGAATCTACATAAACATTCCTACCTGACTTTTTTAAAAAAGTAAAGTGTTTATGAGTTTAGGTTGACTTATGGTGACTTCATGACCATATGCATGTAGTTTTCTTGGCAGAAACACAGAAGTGACTGTCTTCTCCTGAAATATTATTTGCTATTTTTCAATAGTCTAAGCCCTGGGATTTCCTGGTGGCCTCCCATTTACGTACTCACCAGATCCAAGCCTGTCTTGCTTTTCAAGATAAGACAATTCTGGGCAGCTAATGCCACTAGTTGAATCATCTTTAATTTGGAAACAGCAATAACATTTCTTTGAGTCAGTTAGCTATAACATGAGAAAAGGATTTACAAAAATAAAATCTAAATGTGGGTGTTCCAAATCCACTTATTACAAACATATGTAAGAGCTTCTCTTTTTGTCACACCTACCTGCAATTCCTTGTAGCAGCCCACAGACATTAAAAATACTTTTCTTCATAATACTCTGTACACACATCGTGAAAACAGAAACAAATGCAACTGCACAGAGTATCAAGATCCCCACAGCAAGAAAAATAGCAGTAGCTTGCCAAAACCCACTGGCAATCTCACTGAAGTTATCTGCATAGGGGCCACAAGATGTATCAGGCATGGAAGACTGGAAGTGCTCTATTCTGGTGCAACGTCCATAGATCCCCAAGGTTGGACGATAGGGTTCCACTGATCCTGATCTCCTGCTGTCTGTGTCCTGAAAACTTCCAGGCTGGGCCTTGCCAATCAGCCAATCCGCACTCATGAAGGCTATAAGCTCTGCAAATGCCACAACAATACTCAAAAGTGTCCACAACATTGAGCGACAAGTAACAATGACATGACACATATTGCTGTCCAGTGCTTGTGGCCACGTCAATTCAAAGACTAAAATCCCAAGTGGTTAAAAAGAAAAAAGAACTGGAATATAATATGTAATCCTTGTTTCTGTTTACTTATTCTTCAACTTCAGAAACTGAAGGCACTCTTTAAGGCGTTAGTCATGCAAGCAGTCTCGCCATTGATTCTAAACATCTTGTTTCTCTCTTCCTCTTCTTTGACTGCCGAGCTCTGAAGTGTGCACATCTGTGCTAATAGTCATACTGGCATATGACATTTCAACCCCGTGTGGGAGTTTACAGAGGACGGACTCTGGTTTGATACGCCACACCTAAAGGAAAGAAAAAAAAGAAGGTATAGGAGGAGAGATTGTTAGAAGAATTAAAATAAACCCTTTGTTTCTGAGAAAACTCACTTTTGGTTTTTTTTTTTAGCTAAGATCTAAATCAGCATTTAATAGTTTTTACATCAGCTTGTCAAATACAGTCAGCAGGAATCTTCTGCAATCTTTATCCATAGTAAGGTTATTAATTTCCTGTGACCAATGCCTTACAGTATTGCTACACACTATAAAACTTTGCAGGGGTATGCTTTTAAGTTTCACAGATATACAGAGTACATTTATCCATTCAAATTTCCAACTAAAAAGTATACACTTAGTACCATTTGTGAGCATGGGTTTGGAGAAACAGGCCAGCGTCAATTATGAATTATAACAGAGTCTATTACATAAAATGAACAACTTTCATGATTGTTTTCTAGAGGAAATCAGCAAACTAAAATGAAATTTAAATGGCCTAAGTAATTTTAAAAAAGCTTTCTCTAACCCTGGGAAAATGAAGAATCAACTACTCATACACTATGGAACTGATTGGGCATAACTGCTCCTCTGATTGCCACCTATCTCTTCTCTAAAGGTGACACTTCCCAGAGAAGGACAACTGAAACTTACCTTATTTGGGGCTGTGTCATTTGATAGAGTACCCATGTATATTTTTATATGTATACTACTTTTTACTGAATACACAAAAAAATCAAGACAAAAATTAAATATGAATGAAACTTCAGAATACTGACACATAAGAAAATACATCCAGAGTATGGGGAATCTGTTAGGAAAAACTTTAGTTAATATTGCTGAGGAAAGATGACCATGTTTCAATAAATTTATTTTTAAGTTTAGGGTTCCTCATAGCTTTTTGCTGTTCCATATTTTTGTTAAACATATATATATTATTTCATGAATGGAGAGTAGGCATCCTTGAGAAAGCCAGAGAACAATCTAGAAGCAGAAGATACAACTTTGCTAGTGAAGCAGGACTGGAACAGAGAAGCTTCCTTAAAGGCGGTCATCTATGAAATGGCTGGAGGAAATTTAAGAAAAGTAAGCAATACATATAAAGCTACAGTGTAGGTTAAAATTTATCACAAACTATATGGAAGAATCTTCATATAAAATTCATGTGCCAAGGTTTAAAGCATGGATGCACTGAGTTTCTGCAAGCCATTGTAAACTATCCAAACATGGCCACGCTAGCTGGAAATTCTGGAAGCTTCATTCGCATCAAATCCCAAAAACAGTAGGTTGGAGAAGTCATACAGGTGGACCCAAAGAGGATGTTCTTGTGTGGACACAAATTATTTTAATATTCCTTGCTTAAAAGAAAATCATGTTTAGGGAGTTGATCATTTTTTAATTTTCTAGATTTAAAATGGAAATAAGAGACCACAACTTTTGGTTATTCTCAGACAGTCAGCAAAGAATTAGTACAGTTCACAACTTGACTTCTGACGAAGAGGGGGAAAACAAGCAGCATGGCTGTCAGGCAGATCAACAGGCATATGGTGCAAACACACCCTCTGTAAATAATAAAAGCTGGAAGATAACTGATAAAGTGCCAAAGCAGCAAATCCTCTCAGCAGGTCAAATTTCTATAATCATTGGGAAGGAAGGAAACATAGTAACTGTGTCTTTTAACTTCACCCATGGCCATAAAAGAGATGAATAATTTAACAGGCAGGAAGCAAAATAATTACCATGTTCAAAAGCAGACAGTATTATTTTGTTAGAACAAAAATACTTGTACGGTTATTGAAATGAGTTTTAAGAAGGTACAGGGAAAGAAGCATAAAGTAATAGAGCAAATGAAAATGAAAATCACAATACATGCAGCTAGTTAGAATCACAGATCTTCAGACAGAAGCAACGTTCATATTTATTTTACAAGGGTGTGGAGTTCACTTGAAAGGAAAAGCAATAAAAACCTGAGTCATTGTTCATGATATGAATAATAATTACTGTACCAATGCTGCAGAATAAATAAATAAAACTCAGATGCCCTGTATAATTTATGTTTTGAGATTTACAAATTTTAATCCTTAGGTATGATGCATTTCTCACTGACTTGTTTTACAAATGTCAAAAGAGCTGAGTGGACATGGGTGTTAAGAACTGCATCCATCCTCCAGGATCAACATGCCATGCTCTAAGTCAGTGATGGCGAACCTTTTAGAGACCGAGTGCCCAAACTGCAACCCAAAACCCACTTATGCATCGTCGGGTGACTGGTGGGCATGGCCCATTGGGTGGGTGTGGCCCATTGGGTGGGCATGGCTGCGGTGGTAACAGCAGACTGGGTGGGACTAAAAAGTTCAATCAATTAATTCCAACTTTGCAAGATTTTTTTTCCCACGAGAAGTTGAAATTGACTGATTGATTGAACCTTTTTTATTTTGCACATGGCGGCAGAGGCCTAAAGCGAAAAGGTTTTATAAAACCCAGCTGAAGGCCTAGGACTGGGGCGACGGCGCGCGTGCCCACAGAGAGGGCTCTGAGTGCCGCCTCTGGCACCCGTGCCATAGGTTCGCCACCACTGCTCTAAGTTTAACACAGGATCGGCATAACACTTTCAGAAGGCAGCGGTCAGTATGTCAGTACATTCCCATCATTCTCCTTAGAGATCACACAGAAGCAAATGAAAACTGCACCATCAGAAGACTTGTTCAATGGAACAAGTTCAAGCATTAAAATAATAAAGAGCAGAATCAAGATTAAAAAAGTAATATTTTTTATCTCTAAAGACGTCATTAAAGATAAATCTCATTCTGGTTTTAATGAAAAATGCTATCATATATAATAAACTCATATCTCTTGTTAAGATTTTTAATTGATATATAAAATGTAAAAGAAAATAAAAAGCATTATTAACTTTTGCTTGTTTCAGTCTTGGTCATTAGCATTCTTCATAAAAATAAATAAATAAATAAAAAAAAATAGATATTGTTTGATGTTCTGTGATCTTGAAAGTTTAAGAAACAATGTTCTAGGACATTTATTCAAAATCTGTGATTATTTTAAAATGCTCTCCCAATCCTGCAAGCAACTAACTGGAAAATCCTGTTGGAACTGGCTGTCTATATAACTGAGTCAGACTTTATCAAATGTCCACTCCAAAATGATCATGTGTCTAATCAATTCAGTTACTATTCTTTTTAAATTGACAAAATGATTGGATTCCACCAAAAGGATTAAGATTGGTTTATATCCCAGTGCACAATTCATATTAAAAAGAAATAACATGTTTCTTTAGTTACCTGTCTATAGTATAATGTCAACAGTATCAATTCAAAAGTACAGATGGCAATTATTGAGAAATGAGATCAAGTATAACTTTTGTAGACATACCATTTATTTCCTTTTGGAACAAATAGCAAATATTAAAATATACCAGTAATAACTACTTTTGCATTAATAAACATGAGCATGCTACAAATAAATCTATATATTAATAAAATATTAAGAATATTAAATTGAATCCAATAATGGGATTTTGGGGGGAAGTCTCTAAGAATTAGTAAAACCTCTTATTAATGCATCTCCTTAAAAATAAATCTGACTGAATTCAATAAGGACAGATAATTGAGTAGAGAATGGTAGTCGAATAGCAATAAACCCAGTTTTAGAACTAAAGCATGTATCTCATCTGTCTGCCATATGCTGTGATGACAGCTAATTATTGTGCCTGTTTTCAATTTGTCCATAATTCATGGTAGGGCTTTACACTCACCACATCAGGACCTCTTATTTTCTACATCCTTCTCTTTATATTATATTGTAGCTTTTCATCTTTTTAAAAATAGACTGCTCTGAACATTTTTTTCTCTATATTTTTTTTAAAAAATAAAAATACCTATGCTGATTAAATTTATTATTCTATATAAATATTAGAGCACCCTGAAAATAAAATTGCATTTATTTTTAAACAAAATTGGGGTTAGGGAAATAATGCATTTTCAATCATCAATTTCATTAACTTTGTCGTAAATGTGAAAAACGGTCATATGTTATAACTTCGAACAGTCAGTAAATGAGTAACTCGAAGACTACCTATATTCATTTTAATTGTAGGATCAGATTGTTGATTAAAATTCTTGCTTTCCTAAGTTTGTACTTTGAGCATTCTTCCTTTCAGTTTGTATTACATGAATTCTACCATTCATAAGGAAAACACAGACCGTGTAATCTGAATCCTTACATCGAAAAGCATCTTGACACACTCAAGGATACTAGGTCCCAACATTCTTGAAGAACAAGGTTTCTGATTTTTGTATTTTGTACACAGATGAAAGTATGTTTCTCAGTGTTTACCTCATTCTGATTTGCATTTTTCAATTCAGAGTGGATAAAACAAATGGGTTGGCCACAAGAAGGGCAAGTTTCAAAAATTTGAACTGTTTTGGAATGTAAATGTCCCATTTCAAGCTCAAACTGTTGTTTTGCACTCAAAACAGACTAACACAATCATTCTGTAACTCTTTTGAGTTTTAAAAAAGCTCTATTTTGAGCTCAAAACTCTCAGTATAAAGCTCAGCAGTCTTCCAAAATGATCAAACACCCTGTTTTGAAAGCGAAGCACATGTGTCAAATGCAAAACAACTACTTTTCAAATTTGAAACAGTTCAAATTGACATATTTTGTACACTCCTGAAAGGATACTCTTTCCTTTCTAAAGTGTCTCCATAGTTCCCGACTCCTGTAATACTTGTGAACTGAGATATAATGTTCTCACAACAT